TATGGTAAAATATGGTAAAATATGGTAAAAATATGGATTCTGATTCCATGGTAAAATTGGGTGTTTATTTCGCAAGCAAAATCATATGGGATTGATATGATACAACAAAAATGGACTTTGGATGACTTTGGAACGTCAAACACTAGGATGAAAATCAGAAAAGTTTGCTGCCTTCCCCAATTGTCCAAATGTCACAACTCAAGTAAAACTTTCGTTGCCGTCCAAAATCTGCCCTTTCAGAGTGCTGCACACCGCACACTTCCAGGATATGAAATTCAAGACCTGCATGAAAGGTGGTTTTACCATGCACTTCATGGTAATAGTGCCATCATATCCCGGAAATTGAGTTTTGAAGCCCAAAGATTCTGGGTAGAAAATTCAATATCTCTGGGTAAATACCTATGAAACATTTGTGGATGATTCCCCCAACCTTTGTTCACCAAGTTAGCGATTTCGTTGCCCCACGTTGCATGTGAATTGACATGCAACCCATTAGGTCCTTGACTATCATCATCATCATCATGACTATCATTATCATAAATATACCCTCTGGTAAACTAACATAACTATGGAAAATCACCACTTTTCATGGGTAAATCAACTATAAATGACCATTTTCAATAGCTATGTTAGTTTACCAGAGGGTAGGATGTTATAAGCAAGTATTATTTTTATGACTAAAACCCATCTTTCTTGGGTCCTTGATGATCTGGATGTGAACTCACCGCCCGAACCCAATGTCGTGCTGCGGCACGGCAGAAGTCGAGTTCATCGAGCTGTTCAAGTAGCTCATCCTTGGCGTAAACGAGCAGCTCAGGATGCAATTCTTTGTCAAACTAAATGTGGATAGATAGTATATACGTATACATATATATATATAGTATACATATAGTATATATACATAGTATATATAGTGTATATATATAGTATATATAAAGATACATAGTATATATATATAGTATTTGTATAGTATATACATAGTATATACATAGTATATACATAGTATATACATAGTATATACATAGTATATACATAGTATATACATAGTATATACATAGTATATATAGTATATATATAGTATATATATATATACTATATATATAGTATATATATAGTGTATATATATAGTATATATATAGTATATATATAGTGTATATATATAGTATGTATATAGTCTATATATAATCTATATATACTATATATATATAGTATATATAGTATATGTATTGTGTATATATATATAGTATATACATAGTGTATATATATATATATATAGTACATATACAGTATATATATAGTATATATAGTATATATAGTATATATATAGTGTATATATATAGTATATATATAGTATATATATATAGTGTATATATATAGTATTTATATAGTGTATATATATGTGTATATATAGTGTATATATATAGTATATATAAAGTGTATATATATAGTGTATATATATAGTATATATATAGTGTATATATAGTATACAGTGTATATATATAGTATATATATAGTATATATATAGTATATATATAGTATATATATAGTGTATATATATATAGTATATATGTAGTATATATATATATAGTATATATATAGAGTATATATATATTATATATATAGTATATATATAGTATATATATAGTATATATATAGTATATATATAATATAATATATTATAATATAATATATAGTATATATATATAGTATATATATAGTACATATATAGTATATATATAGTGTATATATATATTATATATATACTATATATATAGTATATATATAGTATATATATACTATATATATATAGTATATATATAGTATATATATAGTATATATATAGTGTATATATATAGTATATATGTAGTATATATATAGTATATATATAGAGTATATATATTATATATATAGTATATATATAGTATATATATAGTATATATATAGTATATATATAGTATATGTATAGTATATGTATAGTATATATAGTATATATATAGTATATATAGTGTATGTATATATAGTATATATAGTGTATGTATATATATATATATATAGTGTGTATGTAAAGAATATATATAGTATATATAGCGTGTATGCATAGTATAGATAGTATAGATAGTGAAGATAGTGAAGATAGTATATATTTAGTATATACAGTATATGTATAGAGTGTATGTATATAGTATATATATAGTATATATATAGTGTATATATATATATTGTGTATATATAGTTTATATATAGTATAGATACAAACTATATATATAGTATATATATACATAGTATATTTACATAGTATATATTTACATAGTATATATATATATATACATAGTGTATATATACATAGTATATATACATTGTATATATACTATACCATATTTATAGTATAGTATATATATATATTATATGTATATATATATTATATGTATATATAGTGTATGTAGAGTGTATATATATATATAGTATGTATATATATATATAGTGTATATATATATAGTGTATATGTATATATATATAGTGTATATATATAGTGTATAAATATAGTATATATATATAGTGTATAAATATAGTGTATATATAGTGTTTATATATATATATGTTTATAGAATGTATATATATATATAGTGTGTATATAGTATATGTGTAGTATATATATATAGTATATGCGTCGTATATAATATATATATAGTATATGTTTAGTGTGTATATATATAGTATATGTAGAGTATATACACATATAGTATATATAGTGTATATATATATTGTATACTATATATTGTATACTATATATATATATATGTATATATATATATATTGTATACTAGATATATATATATATTATTTATAATACTATCAAAAGTGTGAAAACGTGTGATTTAAACATGAAAAACTGAATGTTTACCGCTGTTTACCAATGATGAATGTTTACCAATGAATAATGATATTTGGGTATCTCTGAAAATGGGGCGTACAATCCAAAGTTGCCATTAAAATTGCCATTTGAGTGGGACAAACCCATACGCCAGTCATCGCTAGTCGATCCTTCCGATGATTTACCCCATCCCAATTTTTTGTGTTGGTTATCGTCGTCATCATCCCAAAGATGCTTGAACATGTTTCAACAAACCGACCTTGTGTTGAAATCTTCAAAGATGTTCAAATGTTCAACTATCTTAAAATGATGTATACAATGATGTATAATGCTGAAATCGTCAATATCTTAAAATGATGTATAAACTATAAACGCTTGAAATTCACCAACTAAACGAGTTTGAATCGCCACCCTAAAAAAGGCACCCCGGCCTTCAACAAAGGCTTCAAAGGGGGTGTTTCACAATCGGTAGAAACGGAGATGGCCCTGCTGTAGAATCCGCAAATCTATGCAAATGTCGGATTCTAAAACTCATGGATCCATCTGAAACCCTAGTTCTTAACGGTTCTTGGAGGACCACTCTATACATTCTATACGTAGTTTTCACAAGACAAGTCTCGATGATATTTGGATGATATGTGGTTCCCATTGGATGTAGCTGGCGAGTCCGCCCCGGTGTTTGAAACTCCCATTGGATGTAGCTGGGATCGATGTTCATCCCCTACAAAAATCGTTGAAAAAGGTGATCCATGGCCATTGGCTTCACTTCAATGTGGGAAATCACTAATATAGATACTATAGATATCTATAGATACTATAGATATCTATAGATACTATAGATATCTATAGATACTATGTCCAGAAAGGGATCACCATAGTTTCACTTCAACCAACTGTGGGAACTGCTGATCCAGGCGATGGTGAGACCATGTCGGACCATCATTCCGATACCAATCCAACGGATTTGAGTAGGGACCAACCAAAAAAAAAAATGTGGGGCTCGTAAGCAATATGAAAAACAGATTCTGGTTGGTGGATCCCTAAAAACCCCAGAAATTCTGGATCTAATGGTGATAAATATGGGGACAAAAAATAGCTGGTTGGTGGTTTTGAGCCTACCCCTCTGAAAAATGATGGAGTGAAAGTCAGTTGGGATGATGACATTCCCAAACCACCAACCAGAAAAAAAAACTGATTCTTCTGATGAGTGTTTAAATAAGCGAGGGAAAAATTATTGGGACGTTTTGGATGAATTTCATGCCGTGCTTTATCTATGAAATATGGCAAATATGGTCTGTCCATAAAGAGACCCAAGAATCCAAAATCATGTTTTGGTTTATAAATGTTTATCAATAGGGATTGTGGATCTAAACATGTTATAATTATAATTATCCATCATCCATAAAAATTTGACCCTGGTCAATCGGTTCCCAGTAAAGTTGCCCCAGGGTCCCCTGGGTCCCTCTTGTGGCTAACATTTACCAAACGCATGGAGTGGAGCAACCCTGTTACATTGGTTGGTACCTCTGGTAATTTAACGTAAGTATGGAAAATCACCATGTTTTAGAATGGTAAATCATAATGTTTATCATCTATTTCTATGGGCCATGGCTTCCATAGCTATGTTAAATAACCCGATGGTAAATCCCCATGGGAAACATGTTCGCAACCGGCCAAGTCTCCCCTTCTCACTGGCCAAAGCCAGCGAGTTCTCCTGGTTTTTTACGTGACTTGGGTTGGAACTACTTTTTCGCTACTTGGGTTGCTGCAGTTCCAGTTTTAAGTGAATAATATATACAAATATGTGTATATATATATATATATATAAGAGAATATTAATATATATGTATATGCGTAGATATAGATAGAGCTATAAGGATCTATAAGGATTATATCCCAGCTTGTGGGGGTTAGTTCACCAGAAGAGTTTGTAACACCTCAACTGTACCCCCTACGCAAATCAGGATCGATGGTGGAGATGAATACCCACAGTCGGGTGATATTGTTTTGAAACATGTCTTTTCCTGGGCACATCTTGCAATTCGAAACCAGGGTTTCTAGGTATCTGTCTCACGCGGGAAGGGTTAGCCCCTACAATGAGATTTTATTTGTCGGAGATGTCGGGATTTCAACCCCTCCAATGTGACCAAAAATCCGATGTAGAGCCTGAGCTTTCCACGTCAAAATAGCTGAGCTGGTGAATCGGCGTTCGTCCACCCCAATATGGTGTGGATATCCTGTACATCGATGATGGTAAGTGGTATGTTCATGCCAAATTCACCAAAACTTCAAAACAATTCAAAACACCTTTTTTTACACAGATCATCTGCCATTGCACCGGATCCTCCATATCCATCCATATTCCCCTTTTGCTCCACCCCAAAGAAGTCCTCTGGATCAAAGTGCATGTCGTCATGGGAGTCGTGATCATAGTGTTCGTCATAGTGATCATCATAGTGTTCGTCCATCCCATGGTCCGTCTCGTGGTCCTGCGAAAAAGGGGCAGAAACACCATGAAACGCAAGCTCACACGCACCCGATCCTTTTGGGGAATGTCAGAAACAGCGCCCGTCGCGTCTAGTGAGTCTAGTGTTTTGTGTACCTGAAAATCCGGCAGGTTTTGTTCCGGTGAACTACTGTGCATATGAAGATGAACAACATTTACCATCCCGTTGTTGGTTGATAGATTTCTTCATCGACAAGAATCTAGGCAACATCTGCATGGCAAGAAAGCCTGAATTTTGAAGGTGAAATCCCAGTTGTTGACCATGGCTGAACTCTGGCTGAATTCCCATTGTTTCATGACTAAACCCCACGAAAATCACCGTTCTCAATCATCAAATTGCCACTTCATCCCCACTTCTTTATGGTGCCATGTTAAGCCGCCAAGCCCCATTAAAAATCACCTGCTTTCTGAGTCGAAACTCATCTTTTTCATGGTGAAATCCCCCAATTTTTCGGAGCATTTCCTCGTGGAAGTCGTCCATGGCATCCATGCCATGCTCGTCCATGTCATGCTCCATGATGCCCTGGTAGCCCCGGCTGATGACTGGGAAAATGATGGAAAATGATACAAAAAATGATTCGCTGATAAAAAATAGATTGAAGATGATGGATTAAGCATTTTTTGTGGGATGGATTCGGTTAAGATTAAGTAACTAGAATACTTCGTGGATTTGGAAATGCTGGAATCAACCAGCAACTTTTCTGTTGAAAACCAACCAGCAAGTGCGGATGGAGGTTTCCAGTTGATACACTCCGCAGGAATTTTCTGAGAAAAGTATGAGAATCTCCCAAATTACAGTAACTTGCATGGTTTCAGCCAGTCCCAACAATTTTACACTAACTACACTACTGTAAATGAACATACATATGGAAAAGCCAGTATTCCGCTAGGAAAATCATCAGTAAGCACATTCCGAAACTGATTGAGGATGCTGTCGAACTGAAGGTTGGTCAAACACTTGGAGGGTGGTGTCCCCAAACATTAGTGGCAATCCCAGATTCATAGCGCCTAACTTTTAATTTGGGTGGTTACCCAAAAAAAAATGTGATAAATCATTGCCATCAAAACTGATAACCCCCCTATTGAGAAACTGGCGGGCATATTCTATCTCGGGTGAACATTAAGCCATACCCCAAAGCTCATTTTTTGAGCTGATGAAACGGATGTCTTTTTCCCCGCAACCAAATCAACCATAAGTTTGGCCAGCAATGACTAACATTACAATGTCATCTCTATGTCAGTCATACTATCACTATAACTAATAACCATCACTATGTCATCGATATCTTCACTAAACTGGTATGTTTTCGGAATTTCCATATGACTATGTATCACTAATTTGGTAGGTGTTCACCATTGATCATTGACTGATCTCTTTCCAGAAAAAAATATACTTTATAATATTTTGCGATACGTTTTCACCATAAGTGATACCATTACTACGGTGGATGGTTGCGAAATCCTGCACCACCAAAAGGATGGTTTTTCAAGCCAAACAAAATCATGAGATGTGAAACCCATCTAGAAAAACTATGAAAAACGGTGATATCGCTGGCCCATTAAAGCCGTGTTTTCCACGTTTTCAAGCTTCACAAGCTTCACAAGCGATATCTTCAACCCAGACCCAGCGTGTCGTGCTCCTGATCCGATCCACAAAAAATGCCGGGAAAAACCCCGGTCATGGTATGTTAACATGGCTTTGGGTGAATCCCACATTAAAGTTATATGTATATATATATAATGTGTATATATATATAATGTATATATATATATTGTATGTATGTGTATCTATCTATCTCTATATTTATTAATATAATATATATATATATATTCAAATATATATAATCATATATATATAATCATATATATAATCATATATATATAGGCATCCAGGGACCATTTACATCATAAAACCTACTAGATCTTTACTATTTACTCATGGTTGGTTTTTTCATATGGGATTCCAGCTTCATCATGAGACTCTCCAAATGTTTGAAAAGCTAAGGTAATTAGGGCCGCTAATAAATCATCGACCAGTGGCAAAGTGTTTCGGTTGGATTCAGTCTGTCAATGTCATTTTATCTTGTTCATTGTGGATATGACTATATAGTATATAGTCATATCCACAATGAACAAGATAAATATACTATTTGTTTCTACTCTTACTATATTTGTGAATTTTGCTATTGGTTATTATCATCAGAATAAGAGTGTGTATATATATATACTGTATATATTGCGTTAGTGACTTTGTGTGTGTATGCGTATTTGTATGTGTATATGTAGATACATATAATATGCATATGAATTCATATGCACATGTGCATATACATCTCTAAATGTGCACATGTGTTATGCACATAGCAGCTATAGCATAACAGATGTGTCCATTGTAAGTTGAGAATGCCACATGGGCCTGGACCGCAGCAAGATCACCCAAGGCCCAGAACATCAATTTGCTTCGCCCCATAAATTTATTGATTTATCTTTCAGGTATATATGTGAGTAAATCATCATATGTCACCAACCTGAATAGTTCAGCCATTTGGGGATGATTTCCCACAAATTAACCATGATTCCAGGGCTCGGGAGAACAGGCTTCGGTCGTTATGAAATTTACCCAGAGATATCATATATTATCCATAGATTCACCATTATTAACCATGATTAACCATTATTAACCATGATTAACCATAGATTCACCATAGATTCATGAATTGATCATGCCTTTGCCACTTAAGTGTCTTGGAATCCGGTGCAACAATCTTCAGCGAAACCTCGCAGCGAACCCCCGCAGCCCTGGCACCGATGGGGCGCACCTCATCTCCTCCTGCACCGCCAACGCTGGTGAATCTATGGTTAATAATTAATATAATGGTTAATCATGGTGAATCTATGGATAATATATTACCATTGGTAGCCTCAAAACTACTTACCATCTGGTTATGACATTCACAGTTTGCGAACTGGAAAATCACCATGCTATTAATGGGTAAACCATCTATTTCGATTAGGGCCATCTATACCATGGCTATGTTAAATGCCTCAAACTGGTTGGTGGTTGACCTACCCCTCTGAAAAATGATGGAGTTCGTCAAATGGGATGATGACATTCCCAACTGAATGGAAAGTCATAAAAGCCATGTGAACCAGACCACCAACCAGCAAAACTACTTACTTGTTTCGTGGTCTTCTTTGCAACCTGTTGGCACATGTTTGGCAGGAAATGACTGGCAAATCTTCAGAGATCTCACTGGAAAAATGGCAGCTTCTTACCCTCAAAATCTTCACCAAAAATGGCCCAAGACCATGCACTGCTCCCCATGTATGAATAGTTTTGATTGACAAACATCAAAGAATGAACTTCGAGGTACATGTAGTACATGGGGGTGACTCCACAAAATGGGATACCCTTTAAAATGGATCGTTTATAAAGAAAAAACCATTAAAATGAATGATTTGGGGGTACCCCCATTTTAGGACACCACCACATCAAACTAAGTTCCTGCACTTGTTTGGCTCGCCTCGCTGCATTTGGTTGGTCGTCCCACGATGAAGGGGATCAAATATGTTTCGCAAAACCCCCCAACTTGCCATTTTAATAGCTGCTTGGTGGTTTTCACCATCTGAAAAATATACCAACCAGATAGGGAACATGATAAAATATGAGATAAATCGCGGTGATTCCCCACTTCCTCAAGGAGCCATCCCATCTGAAAAACTCCCCCGTTACGCCAACGCCGCGAGTCCATCAATGAACATTGCGGAGTGATGTTCTCCAGTCGCATTCATCAAGGCCTGGGTCATGGAACGTGAAGCCAAAACGGTACCATCCCAAGCCATGGATTACCCTCTGGTTATGTCAAAATAGCTATTGAAAATGGCCATTTATAGTGGATTTTCCCATTAAAAATAGTGATTTTCCATAGCTATGTTAAATTACCAGAGGGTAACCAACCATCACTGGAGCGAAATGAGATCATCCCAAGTACCCAGAGGTAAACCGTAAACCTACCGGTTTTTTCCATCAACAGGCGAAAGGTTGCTGACTAGGTACAAGGCTACTACCCACTTAACAACCATCATTATCCCTACGGAATTGCTCCAAAGTTCCATCCATTCGCTCACTTCATATTGGGCCACGGTCAATATTTAGTATATATATATAGCTCCAAGTCATGAATTTTTGGAGAGTGTATTATCGTTTTTCAGGTTTGGGGAATATAGCAAATGTTATATCCTTTTTTGAACAGCGTAATGTCGGTTTCCAAGTCCGGGGGCCCCGAACCAAGGCGGACTCCTTATCACCTTGGCCGTGAGGAGTCAACAAAAATGGTGGGATTACAGGGATTACAACATGTTAATTTACTACAGGATGGGGCCCCCAGTCGATAGCGTTCAATGGTGAACATAAGTGGCTGAATTCAATGGTTTATGGTTCATGGTTTATAAACCAACAAACATCACTGGGGGGCCCCATCCTGTATGAATCCCATAGAATTTCATAGAATTTTGGAGATGTTTTATATAATGGGATTTAATAGGATATAATCTAGGAATATTATAAAGCAATATTGGTTTAGTGGAGATTTTCCAGCAAGGCTTTGATTACCGGAGGGTGAGAGCATTTCAATTCATCCTCCCTATTGGGATCCCCCCCATTAATTTACCATTAGTCCCATCACTAACCCAGGGTTCCGAGGAATCTTGGAGGATATGGGACAGTGAAAAACAGGCGAACCTCTATCCCAATGATCACCAATAAAGACATGGGGTCCACCACCAAACCATTAAACTCATTTAAGTTAATGGAATATGTGAAATTATGTGAATATGTGAACCATCAAAGTATGAACTTAAACCAAAGAATATCATGGTTCCGTGACCATTTCGGCCTGCGTCAGTTCACCCGGGTACCCTGGTTTTCACACCAAAATAGCTGGATAGTAGTGGATATTCATCCAAAAAAATTGTGTTTTATCGGGATTGGCCCATCTGCATATGTCAGGGGTATTTCAGTGGATATCATCCAATTTCTATTGCCAAGCCAGCCAGCAGTTGTTTAAGCTGGTGAGTTATTTGGATATTCCGATCAAAATGGCACAAAACTGAGTCCGCATTAAACCACCCGTCACATTGACAAGCTTAGATACTATACAATGAAATCTGTGTTTTAGCTGGTGATGTTCATATTTCGCCATTAGAAAAAGCTTAAAGTATTGAAGTATCAATCCGTTGGTCTCACCTCGTGTAATCATCAACCAACCATAGTTTCTGGATGATATCCTATATAACTATATAGCCTATATCCCCATGACATCATCTGGATGGCCGTTTTGATGTGGCCATAGGATTAAATGTACACATAGAAAAACATATCATAACCATTTTTTAGCTGGTCTGAAAAACTACCCTTCACCAAAATCGTTACCCAGTTTTTTTCTTGGATACTCTGGGGGAATTTTAACGGTTTGCGAACTGGAAAATGCTCATTTAGTTTGTTGATTTACCCATTTAAAATGACCATGGCTTCCAGTTCGCAAACTGTTAAATCACCAGAGGCTACTTAGTATATCTTAGTATAGTATTAAGCATCTAACTCAGAAATATGATTAATCATCATGACTCATGTTTTACATATATTTTTCATCCCCTCATCTTTGATGGCAAAATCCCTTGCCGTGCCAGCCCCGGCCCTGGCCGTTCCAACGGATGCCGCACCCAAGGTGTTGAAGAGGGTGTGATTGGAGGCCTCGAGGCCAGGTTCCTGCAGCTCGGGCTTTGGGGGATGATCTTCCAGTTGTTCCAACCTATTGGACTGGAAACAACGACAGCTTTCCTGCGAAAAAAGGAAGTCAAAACCATAAGATCAGGGTAAGATCATATAACCGTTAATGAACATTTTCTTGAACCAACTGCTTGGTACATATCTAAAACTTTTTCGTGTGAAAAGAAAACTTCAGCAGCCATGTAAGATTTCAAAGCCATAAAAGTGTATAAGTTCAACTTGTACCCATCCAGTCACCCCCAAAAAAAAATACCGTCTGGCAATTTAACATAGCTATTGAACATGGCCATTTAGTTCGTTGATACCCATTAAACATGTTTATTTTCCATAGCAAACTGTAAATACCACGGGTGTACCATCCCAGTTGCGATTGCAACCCGGTCCTGGACCAGCAAGTTGAGTGGAGCAGTCACGACACTCGGTCGCACCTGCAGATGCTGCAGGAAGGGTGGCAGCTTTTGTGGTGAAAAACCAACAAAAAATGTGATTTAACATGACTTAACCATCAGAAAATGTGGGGTTAACCATTCAAAACCATTAACATGATTTATAAAAAGTTATCAGAAAATGTGGGTTAACCATCCAAAACCATCCCAAATTTTGCTTCAAATTTTAGTATTACTATTACTGTAGTAAAACTAATGGTTTATCAACCCATATGGGTTTGTCAAATAGGCGTACACCCAAAAAACATTTGGTGATCGTCATTTTCTCGAAATAATATTGAAAAATTGAGGTACAGGAAATACCCAGAAAACGATGGGGAGTTCACCAGTCACCAAATTTCAGCCATGAGATGTATCTAACATTTTGTGTAACCATTTCGAAACCCTGCTAGAAAAATGGGATGTACTGATATAATCTGATATATTCCACTTTCTTGTTTCATTGATCACCACTTAGGATTCCCGAAGGCAAAAAGGGTCAAAATGATTGATCCCTTCAAAAAAAGTGGTTAAAGGCTCCAAAAATTACCCTCTGGTTGTTAACGTAGCTATGAGAAATCACAATTGTTAATAGCTAAACCATCATGTTTGTCATCTATAAATGGGCAATTGTCCAGTTCGCTATGTTAAATAAGCAGAGGGTAAAAATAAACTGATTTTGTGGGTCCATTGAGGTATCACTGTATCACCTTTTAGATTCATTGCCCGGTGGATGAACTCATGAGGCTTTTTGGAAGTTCGAGGCGACAGCTCTGCATATTCCAAATTAAACAGGGGTTGGTAAATGTCCTAATTGAACATCACCCAAATATTGGGGATATCATCTCCAACAGATACTTGAAAGCAATGTTCCAAACCCCGTTAAATTAACCCAGCTTTGCAACCGGCAGTGAGGAGTCCATGTTTGGGCCACCTTTTGACTCTACAACCAACCCATTGCCATAAACCATCCCATTTACCAACCATAAATTTCGGGTGGCATTCGCAACCATTCTCCCAGTCATAGTGGTATACCCAATGCCATAAAGCTCTATATATTTGGGAAGTTTTCGAATGCATTGGGTTTACCACTGGCATTGGGTTTACCACATATACAGTAATGAGATTCGAAATCACTATGAATGGAAGTAGTATTATTGATAGTACTAATCATTATCCCACTCATCACAAATTGTCCTTTGTTATAATCATAGAAATTGTCAGCTCATAAATATTAGGATATGAAAATAAGGATATCATTGGATCACTGATAATTACTATGAACCTCATCAAACCTCCATGAAACCTCCATGAAACCAAAAAAATATTGGTAGATCTCCCATGTCCATCATTTTTTTGGTATAATAATATTACCATCATGGTTTATAATATTACCATTAATGATCATTATTGGTAAACCTCCATATTACCATGATTAATCCATGCTATAATCCCCATCTTTCGCTGAACTCCCCGATCAGCGTCGGCGTGGCTTGCCGCCGCAACGCCCACACCTTGGCTGCGTGGACCAGGTCCAACAGCCAGAGCGACCACCATAGCTTCCTGGGCGGCCAAAATCCATGGGAAAATCGATAAATCGGACACCAATCTGTTAGGTCAACTGATGGTTAATCAATGGTTAATCAATGGTTGATCAATGGTTAATCAATGGTTAATCAATAACTTTAATTGATTAATAAACCATGGATGCCATCCGATTTCTGTTGGTTCTGGTTTCAATTTTCCCTGAAAAACCAATCCGTTTTGTGACGAATGTTTCTGTCTGGATTTCATGAAATGATCCCCAGTCGTCACCAACTGTTGGTTTCAATACTACCCGGTATGGTTATGACTAACAGTTCGCCATGGAAAATCATCACTTTTAATAGGTACATCATCTATTTCTATGGGTCATTTTCCATAGCTATGTTAAATAACCAGAGGGTAACATAGTTGAATGACAAACAGATGATTTGCATTTTGATCATTTTGATCTTCCACCACGGATTCTGAAAATTTTCGGTATTCAAAAAGCAGCCTAATTTTTCATATGGGATCTCTGGGGTACCCAAAAAGGTACTTTTTGTTTTCAGACACACCCCGGTTGGGAAAAAAATGCGGCAATATTTCATGGTTGTCATTGTACTAAATTCATTGTACATGATTATACTGGTTACGACAGCAAAAAAAACTGCTCATGATGGTACTATCGTGGTTATGATTGCACTATAATGATTACGATGGTAAGAATACCCACAGACGCCGTGTGTTGCCCAGACATTGACATTGAGAATGTCGTGCTGTCGAATATATGATAGGAGAGATTGCAGAAAATACTGGTATACGCAGTGTTTTCCAGTTTAGGATTCAAAGTTTTCAGAGCCTAGGTTCTAGGGTTTAGGGTTTTAGGGTTTGGGGTTTTAGGGTTTGGGGTTTTAGGGTTTAGGATGGTTTAGGGTTTTAGAGTTTAGGGTTCGTCGTCTGGGAAATCTCAAAACACTGGCCCTGCGCAGGTGTTTGAGCATGTTGAAGGATAATGTTTAAACATGTTTAAACGCCATTTGAACCTTCCGGGCAACACACCGCGCCTGGCCGTAAGAATATGGTTCCGATGGTCACATACGCCTTATGATAATGATAAGAATCTTACTAAGTGATCTTATATGTGATGCGATGTATGAAGGTATTGACCTTATGTGTATGTATAGTATATGTATATGTAACATGTAGACACATACATAGTGGCAATAATAGTAATTTATATGTTACCTATATATTGATGCTAATGCTAGGCACATGAGAATGGGAATAGGCTAACTATATAATGGGAACATGGGAAGACTATGATTTTATATGTTTAGATAGATACCAACATTATATGATGAAACAAAAATACAATGTGTCTTCCCAAAGATATAACATATTGTTACATGGGAACGTGAGTATGGTACAATTTATATGTCCCTTCTATATTATCCGCTGAGACCGAATGAGAATACCTATGGACAGTAATAGAAGTAGTATACAATATCTATCTCCTGTTGTATGTTCTATTTAGCACTGCCCTTTGCTACTTACCTATCCGGTCTAACCATATACTTTTTTGTGCATTATCACCATTATATATCCATTACTACTATGGATATCAGCATATATTAGCTATTTTACTGGACATATTGTTGTTTACTAATTAGTAATACCCATTGTACTGGCCGGCCTGAGGATCCCATTTCGGTGTGTTTGGGCACTGGGGTGCTCGTGACAGTTTAGGTTGCCCGTGCCAATGGTTACATAATGAGCTTTGTTTGTGTTGGGTATAGAAAACTGGCTATGTTCTGACTTTTGAGGTATGGGTAGCAACTTAAGAAAGGAAAAATGATAGACTCGACCATTGCCAGTATGGTAAAAGATAGTAGAATCCACTAGAAATGACCCAGAAGTATCCAAAAGTAATACCCTCTGGTAAATTAACATAGCTATTGAAAATGACCATTTATAGTGGATTTTCCCATTGAATATTGTGATTTTCCATAGCTATGTTAGTTTACCAGAGGGTAATCTCAAAGTAGCTTTGTATAATAACCAAGTCTTCAATTTTCCAGCTGAAATTTCCCGCGATCGCTCCTGGGAGGGATTGGAAATTTTCCATGCCCCAGTCATCATTCATTTTAAGCGTATTTTGGGTTATATAACCAATATTCATCCATATATATATATATATATATAATTTAGTATATATTTAGTATAATTTATGGAACTTTTATCTAACTAATGAATTGTAATGTATACAACCATATATATCCATATATTGCTGATTCATAATCCAGTCATTGCTGGCCGAAAAAAAAAATGAGGATTGTTTAGGTATATCCTCAATATAAACCAAAAGAAATTATAGTTTCCTATATAAACCAACATAAATCCTCATATCATATTATATTGGTGTATAATGGAAAATCAATATATTGTTTGGGTATATATTGAGTATATGTTCCATTATAAACAAACCATTTCTGGGTACCACCAACTTCCCATAGAAATCCCAGCTCTGCTGTGATGCCAGCATGATTGATGCCAGCATGATTTGCCAGAATATGTTGAATGCTTAACAGCAACAATTCATTGTAACTGAAAAATAATACATTGAAAAGGAGAAATTGATCTGTTTCAATCTTATTGAGGAATATTGAGGACCCCTGTCAAAGTGCAAAGAAGGGAATTCGTGCAACAAATTTTGCCAGTAAAAGGACACTGTCGAACAAAATGAACAAATTCTTGTTGCTACCTAACTTTTGGGTTCAAATCGAAGACCTTTTGATCATTTTGACTCCCCAAATGGTTGGATCCAAACCCACGGAACCATGGATACCCAACGACTTGACAGCCGCGGGATGAGATATCTCAAAGAGATACGTACAACTGAGACAACCAACCAACAGCAACTCCGCGTATATACAGCTTGTGGTGCCTGGCTTTGAAATGTGCCGTTCCATCCAAACCATCATGGGAAATCGTCCCTTAAAACACCCCAAGCCATCCCGGCCGCCACTGAAATCGTGGCCAAAGCGGCATTGTTAGTCTCATGGAATCGATTTATTGCTACGTTAAGGGAGAGAATTGTTGATGTTTCTCTCGGATTCGCCCAAAACTCACCTGATAGGGATCTCAGGGGAGCTTGAGCTGAATCGCTGCGGCCCAATCATCCCAAGGGATCGAAAGTCAGTTCGCGATTTGGCGCGCTGAATGGCGAGGTAAGAAAATGCTCTGCAAAGTGTTCCCTTTGACCCATGTGAACTACCCCGAAGCTAGGATATACAGATATACATATTTATTTTCGATTCATGTTTGACATTGTTCCGAAAGTTGTCCCAAACATAATGCACTTGTCATTGCAGGTTTCACTGGCTTTGCTTTTCTACTGAATCCTGCTGTTTTTTGGCCAAGGTGAAACTGCTGTTCGGCAGCCTTCGGCGCCTAAGGCGGTTTTGGGTGTTGGATGGTCTTGGTGCCCCGCGGCTAAGAAGTCGTCGCGGCTGGGAAGAAACCAACACCATCGCAGCACAAATATATACGAGTGGATTTGTTCTGCAATTGGATATGCCGAATTCTTCCCAAAAATCTCAATTTCATCAAAATGAAATGGTGTACCAATCCTACTGGGGATTAGACATGTCGTGTGTTTTTGAACCTGTTTTCCGGCTGCAAACCTTGCCACATATGGGTTTGATTGAACATGTTGGGGAAACATCCCAAATCCCATCGTTCATCATGTTCCTTAAGGCCACATTGGGGGTATAGCCCACTGCACACAAACCCATTTGAAGATCAAGATCATGGGTAGCTGAATTGTTGGTGGATGCCTTGTTGTGGGATCAAAGCTCAAAAAACTAAAAATCCAGCTGTAACATGGTTGTGAAAAATCTTGGTACACCCAAATAACTACGTCGGAATGGGGAAAAATCCATAGTTTTCAACCCAGTTTCGCAGATCCCAAGTGGCATGGATGCCACCCCCACTAAAGATGGTCTCTTATAAAAGGTCCATGTCCTTTACCTTGGAATGGGGTTGATTAAAAATCGGAGTTTGGTCATAACTTGCGATTTGTTTTTTGTTTGAAGGTGCGGTTTCACTAATTTTTGTGGTTTATAGTTGCAACGGCCTCATGTCCCAATTTTTGGAAGTCAGAATTTCATAATTGTTTTCATCAATAGACCCAAATAGTTGTAGGTTGGTTGTATATCCCAATATCTCAATATTGTTTCCTGAAATGGTGTACCCCCAAATCATCCATTATTAAAATGGATTTTCCACTATAGATTATACATGATTATACTATAAACCATCCACTTTGGGGTACCGCCATTTATGGAAACCCCTTTTTGTTAAATCCCGTTGAATCCCTATGGTTCAATCCCCAAACTGCGCCCCCGGCGGTGCCCGGCGGTGCCGGGCATCATCCACCGGGCCTCGATAGAAACAAGTGGCGTTTCTTCGTTTCGGCGTTTGGTGGTGGTGAAAACCATGTACTGTACATGCTGACTATATTTAAACATATATATATATATACATATATATATATGTGTGTGTGTTTCAAAATAAAATGTAGAGATATACATATTTATATGGATATATTTGGAAACATGTACACGCATAGATTTTAAGAAAATATTTATGTGTGTATTTAAAGAAAATGTATCTATATATCAAATGAAACCCATATAGGTTTGCGTTGTCAGTCCACAATTTTTGATGGCGTCCACGGTTTGCGCCGACACGTCGCGCGCGCACATTTTGAATCCAAATTGGTCGAAAAATATAAGATGGTAACATATTCAGACATTTTCGTATAATCAAGTAATATTGTTTTGTGTCATTGGCTAGTGCCACTCAAGACCGTTCCAGTGATGTCGCGTTATCAGATCGTTATGCTTTACTGTATCCAGACTTATGGTTTTCAAGTCCCGGTAGTGACCCATTTTCTGCGGTTGATTCTCCCTATATGATTTGCTGATCAACAACTTCTATCCCAATTTTATTGGTTACCAATAGATCGCTATACGGGG